TCAGGAGCGGGACTTGCCCTGGGGTACTTGCTGTGTTTTTCTTAAACAAAAATCACTTCTATCTCCTCTCTGTTCTCTCTCTTCTTCCCCAGCCTTACTTGTCTCTCTTCTCCCTTCCCTTCTCTCCTCCTCCCCTCCCTTTCTTCTTCCGCCTTCTCTTCCTTCTCCAACCCACTCTGCTCTCTTTTTCCTCCCCATCTCTGGTTAGATCGACCCTTGTTCAAGTCTCAACCATATGCCCTTTGGATAGAGGATCTAAGGGATTGTAGCCCAAGCTGGATGGGGCACACTTAGCTTCCTTTTTCTCACACCCGCCTCAATAAAAATCCTTAGCCACGTTGGATTTAAAGAATCCAGCATTTGAGATGTTCTGGTAATGTCATGATAGGATTCTTAAATGTACTTTATTTTCAGTTTGGCAACAGTGCCTCAGTTTGAGAAGTTGAGAAACACCTCTTCAGTTTTTGTTGTTTTTTTTTCTTCCTGGAACTTTTCTGGTGGGAGTGAGAAGTCATCAGACGTGGGCCAGGACCTGGTCTCGCAGGCTCTCCATGGCCCGGAGCTTTCTGTTGCTTAGTCTAGTCGTCACCTAGGTAACTGAAAATCTGCCAGTGAAACAGTCTGTCCACAGTGAAAGGAAGTAAAACACTACCCCAGCGCTCACTCTTTGTGTGCTATAATTTTTTTTGAATGTTACTTGATTTTGAAAGAAAGGATTTGCCACTTGTCTGCTGGGCTTTGGCCCCCGCGCCTACTGTGCAACCTTCCTGCTTCTTGGATTGCAAGTCTGTTTTTATCATGGATTGTTTTTATGTGTGTATGAAAGCTAAAAGCAAAGTGAAGTCAAGTTTTCATTCTTGAATGATTCCCAGGAGGACTGTGTTTCACATAAGTTTTTATGAACAGCTAGCAAGGCAGGCTTAGCCTACAACTTACTCGGTTTGGTTTTGGGAGTGTTTGTTTTTAAAAAGTCCCTTCCTGTGGGGGTGTTTTTCCATTGGGTATGCTCTATTTCCTTAGTTACTGTTGCTCTGTTTTGGAGGTGCTTTAAGATGTTTCTTTTTTTTTTTCAAGTTCAGTATTAATTTATTTCCTGGTTAGTCCTTCCCATCTTTCCAGGATAGATAGAATGCCTGAGCAAGCATAAGTGTGTGTGTGTGTGGGGGGGGGCATGGGCTTTCTGCAGAGGGTGTGATCTTGTATGTGTGGTGCAGGCTGAGCCTGTGTGACCTTTTGTACTTGGTAAGTCTCCTCCCACCTTGATCATTATTATCAAGCTTAAGGCATTTAGGAGTAGAGAACTACCCCAGGTTCAGAGGCTGGGGAGAACAGGACAACAGACCTGTGTTAAGTCATAGCTCTCCTACATACTAGACACCTGGGCTAGTTAGTCTCTGTAGAGCAGATTTTTCTTGCTCCGTAGTCTTGATAAATGGGACTAGATGTTGGAGTTTAAAGGACTGCAAGTCAGCAGCCTCTAAGGGTCTTTACTGGAGAGGACACTCTGTGAGTGTGACCATCAGCCTTATTGTCTGATCTTCATTAGGGGGTGAAAGACACCCCTCCTCTAGTCAAGAGGGTCAGAGCTAAAGACAGCTCTCCACATGGTGCATAGCACTTGCAAGTTCAAGGCTTGGGGTAGGATTATATAACAAATATTTGCTGAACTCGTCTCTGTGCATCCATTTACCTGGTGCGAGGAACAGCATTTTGGAAGCACCGTGTTAAGCAATTACTTTGATTCACTCAAATCCTCATTCAGGGTCTCTTCACTGGGCACCTATCGGGCAAAGACAGTGCTGTGTGTGCTGAGAGGTTCAGAGAATCAAATGTCACTGTCTTTGTCCTCATGCAGTGAGAGAATGGTGTCCTGTGGTCAGGACACTGTGTGGAGTGGACCTCATAAAATCCTGGGAAGCAGATGAAGGAATGCAGGCTGCATAGCCAGGCTGTGATCTCCTCATAGGCATTTTTCCCATATACTCTTGGCTGTTTGTAAATCTTGTCTTAAGGACTTCCTATTCATGTCTTCAGCACACACACACACACATGTACGTGTGTGTGCATGCGCATGCGCACACAAACACACACACACACACACATTTTTCATGATATATATTCTGGATATTCCTCCTTGGTCTAAGGAGCATGCATTTCCTCTCATTGAGTAGGTTGTCTTTTTGCTCTATTGACTATCTCAGTAATGCACAAGACAGGCTTAGTTTGTTATCAAGTCCATTTGTTAATTTTGCCCTTTGTTCCCTGTGCTTCTAGTGGCATGTAAAACAAAACAAAACAAAAGGCAATATTAACAATCAGCAAGCATTTCATAGTTCGACCTGTGATACATTTGGGATTGATTTTTTTTTGTATGGGGTGAGAGATGGGGGTCTACTTTCATTTTTCTGAACGTGAATCTCTGGGTTTCTCAGCACTATTTATTAAAGGGACTAATCTTTTCTGTAATGTGTGTTTTGTTAAAGATCAGCTGGATGTAAATATGTGCACTTCGAGGTTCTCTCTCCTACTCCATAAGTCAGGGTGCTATTTCATGCTGGTGCTATACTTTGCAGCACGGTTGGAATTTAGGTATCTAGATGTCTCAGTCTTTTGAATTGAGGATCTTTAAAAGATTCTGTGTGTGTGTGTGTGTGTGTGTGTGTGTGTGTGTGCGCGCGTGCGTATGTGTATGTGTGTGTGTGAGAGGGGGGGGGGGGGCGATGTCAAGGGTTTATGGATATCCAAAGAAGTCAGACGAGAGAACTGGATACTTTGGTGCTGGGGTTTCAGGCAGTTGTGAACTGGCAACTGAGCTTGTGTCTCTCAGAAGAGCAACAAGTACTCTCAAATGCTGAGCTACCTCTCTAGCCCTAGATTTTAGGATCTTTTGTGGTTATATATAGATTCAGAATTATTTTCCTATCTCTAGGAGTAATAACATTGGTATTTTCATAGGTATTATATTTAATCTGTAGATCGTGTTGGACAGTACGATCATTTTGACAATAGTAATTAGTAATTCTCCTAATCCATGAACATGGTCTATCTTTCCAGGTGTGTGTGTGTGTGTGTGTGTGTGTGTGTGTGTGTTCACTTCAATATGCTTCACCAGAGTTTTGTAACTTTATATTGTAGAAATTATTACTTGCTTTGTTAATTATATTGCTTCCTGTGATGTCTAAGGAATGGAGGGGAGTCATGAAGATTGAGAATTTGAAGAGATTGTGAGGAGATTAAAGCATATAAGGCATATATAATTCACCAGCTCAGGGGCCACTAGGCAGGTAGCTGATGGCTGGCACACAGGCACATGGTGTCACACATGGGCCATACAGGCACACATAAGCACACACACAGATTGGTTCACAGGCCACATGGAAGTAGACAAACATATAGAGACAAGCACACAGGCAGCCTGGCAAAGCTTAGGCCTCTGACCTCAAGGCCATATTTATACAGAATTCACATAAAAATGGCATTCTGTGAGGAACAGTTATACATTCTGTGAGGAACAGTTATAGATCACGGTTGACTTTTGGGGTTCCCCAGACATCTGGTGTCAGTCATTTTGTGCTGACCCATAGCTTACCAGAAGTCTACGTCAGTTCCATCTTGTCTAAACGTAAACTGACCCTTGCTGCCTTCTGTTACCAACATGAGATTCTCTTCCTTCCTTCCTTCCTTCCTTCCTGCCTTCCTTCCTTCCTTCCTTCCTTCCTTCCTTTTTTGTTTTAATTTTATTTTATTTTTGTATTTTTGATACAGGGTTTCTCTGTGTAATAGCTCTGGCTGTCCTGGAACTTGCCCTATAGACCAGACTGACCTTGAACACCCATAGATTCTCCTGCTTCTGCCTCCCAAGTGCTGGGATTAAAGGCATGTGCCACCACTACCTGGCTTCTTGAAGGCATTATGAATTGGAATATTTTTAGTTCTTTCTCAGTGAGTCTGCATTGATGTATAAAAATTGTTCCCTTTGTAAAATAAAATGCTGATACTTTAGCTCTCAACATTACCAAATTTATTAGTTCTGGCAATGTTTAATAGTAGAATATTTATGTTCTGCTTATAAAAACCCAGGTATCTGCCAGCAAAGACAGTTTGGCTTCATTTCTAAACTGGATGGATCTTGTTCCTTTCTCTTGCCTCTTGTCTGCAGCTAGGACTGCTGATGCTGTGTTGAGATTGGGATTGGTAGATGTGCTTGCCTTGTTCTCAGATGAAAGTGTTTCAGCCCTTCCCGTTGGAAGGGTATTGGCCCATGTTGGCTCTTTGTGCTGAGGTGCGTTCTTTCTATAACTAAGGTTGTAGACTCTTCTCCCGGGGCGGGGGAGGGGAGGCACAGATAGTGAAGTCAAAAGGCTTTTCTGTTTCTGTGTAGGTGATTGTTTGGATTTGTCCTCATTCTTTTGGTGGGGTGTGTCATGTTCTTTAAGTATATGTCGAGTCATCTTCTATCCCGTGGAAAAGCTCCACTGGGTCATGGTGCAAGAGTCACTTTTAAAAATTGCTTTTTCCAGATATTAATTCCCCACTCTTGGAACACTGATGGTGGTTGACATGAACCAAAGACTGCGTCTAAGACCTGGGGATTCAACTTTGGGAAGTCAGTTCCTTAAGAGAGTGTGTGAGGTCTGAGTAGCTCAAAGAAAGATGTTTGGAGATTATGGGCTTGTATCTGTTATTAGAGTGGCTTAGAAAACGGATTAAGAGCTGTTTGGGTGTTGAAAGTGGGGGGTCCCCTTACCCCAGTGTTCACAAGAAGGTCATGGTCAAGGCTGAGCTGCCTTTTAATTGTTAGTTCTGTAGGCCTGTTACTCTGCTGTTGGGTAGCTTTCGTGAGGCAAGCTCTTAGATGTAGTCTAGCTCCTGTCCTCTCAGAGACGCGCCTCAGCCTCCCAGGTGCTGGGATGGTAATTACACATCACCATGCCCAGCAGGTGCTGGTCTCACTTTTCCCAAGGCCATTAAGACACTGATTTCTTTCTTTTTAATTTTAGCAAGAAGAGAAACAGAGCACAGAGAACAGCCGATCAGAACAGGCCAGACTCCCTGGTGAGGCTGAGACTGCCCAGTTTGTGGAAGATGCTGGCCGCCTCAAGGCTGAGAAGCCCTTCATCTTGAGGTGAGACAGCGGGTTTCAGCTGGACAGCTTCTCCATTCCCGACCTCACCATGGCTTCAACTCTCTGGCTGGATGGCTGATGTGACTGTGTGACCCCCATGCTGTTGGACTGTGTGCCATCCAGGTAGTGCCTGCTCACAGGGTGTGGGGAGCACAGCCAGTGGGCATCAGATGCTCCCAGAAGTTGGACCAGCAGAGTGATGGACTTGGACAGGCTAAGATGGAAGTGACCTGAGACCTCGCCCAGGCAGTTTCTTCACAACAGGACAAGTTAAGAATCGAAACAGGCTTGTCTGGGGAGCAGTATGCCGGAAGCTGGTTTTCAGGCCACAAACGCGTTCACAGGTGAGAAAACCTAATTGGGAGGCTTTCATTTCACTATTGGGTAGCGGGTAACAAAATGCCAAACAACTGTATATAATATGGAGGTGTGTTTAAATGTACAAGCTGAAGGCCATGCAGAGTCAAGGGTTCAGGCTGCCATGGTAACCGATTTTGACAAAATAATAGTATACTTTTTTCCCCTTTCTCTAAATAGAGCTATATCATTTGAAGAACAATGCATCAGTGATTTTTCTTTAAAGGGCTAGGAAAACTGTCCAAGGGGAAATGTATTGCTGACCAGTAACCTTTCCCTTTCCAGTTTTACATCTTCAGGTTTATAAGACAAAGACCAGTGCGGTGGTGGTGCTAGGGGGCACCATGGCTGAGCTAATTTTGCAGTTAGGATCACTCTCTTGTAAATGAGCCTACAGAGAAGCTAGGATTAAATCGGGATTTATTGTTGATTTCTTCCCGCACTGGCCTCCGGTTTGCACATTTTACAAGGAGCCACTTTGGCTAGTGCTTGAACAGTGGCTGAGATACAGTGACTTTTGATTTTGAACTCTGGCTGTTTGATTGATTTAACATCTCGGGAAATTGCTCATCTTCGGGACCTGTGGTTCCTTGTTTATTGGGAACAGTATGAAACTTAAAGAAAATAGTTTGTTTTATGTAAAAAGCTTAGGGAATCTAGGAAAAATATTTTATATGAAAAGCCATGTTTTTTTAATTTTGTGTGATTTACTTAAAAGTGAAGATGACAGAAATGGGGAAAGTGACTGTGTTGTTATCCCCGTGACACTTGAACTGAAGCTTTTCAAATTTTTTGGCGAGAACAGGTCAGGTTGTTGGGGTGCCTGGACAAAGGAGTTGAGGCTTGGAATTGAGAACCACGGGGCATTCACTAGACATTTTTCTGACTGATCTCATTCCTTTTCACGTTCTGTTTATGAATGAAGGTGCTCCAGGCCTTCACTGTACCCTTCTGAGGAAGGCTAAGGACACTGGCATGAGATGTTGAGGCAGAGTTCTATTGCGGAGTTAGGTGGCCAGGCTCACCTGTTGGCTCCTCACTCACTGAGGGAACATGGCTAACTCTGAAGGTCTGGGCACCCTGGCTGTTACCTGGAGGCCTGAACTACAGCACTTCTGTCTGAAGCTGTGATGGGGAAGGTTATCCTCAAAGGACCATGACTAAAAAAAGATATTTAAACATACGCTCAGAAGACAGAGAGCAAAGCTGAGCTCTCTAGAATCATCTTCAGATGTTGTGGGCTAGAATCTCTGCCTTGTAATCATTGCTTAGCCCATGCACCTCTGGTTGCTTTGGTTTAAAAACCTGCTTACCCATGGATGTCATATTCCCTTCTGTGTGGAGGGTGCTTACTTTAAAGCATTTCTGTGACGTGGTCAGGTGTCACTTGGCCTCCTCCAGAAGGCAACTAAGGATGAGAGGCATATAGAGAGGCCCATCGAGAGGCTCTTAAAAGCAGTTCTGAGAAGAGGGGACAAGAATAGAAAAGGGAGAGGACTTGGGGCAAGACAAACCTGAAGAGAAAGAACCCCGAGTTCGTCATACTAGGCTAGTCCCCAGACAGGAGCATTCCCAGTGACGTTAGCCCTAACACCACTGCTCCCGAGTATGTGAACAGTCCTCCACTTGTTGTTTTCTTCCTGGCTCCTGAGGCTGCTTCCATGCTTGCCTTGCCATCCTAAACCAGTACTGGTTCATTGTGGTTTATACTTGGCCACACCCAATCCTCACCACTCCTCCATCACAAGGGGAAAATACGAAAAAGAAGACAGGTCAACGTGTGTGGCTCCGGATGAAGCAACAACCAGCAGCCCCAGTTCTGCTTGGAGCATCCCTGGGCTTTTCAGACATTAAAGCCCCAGTAAATGATAGCTGTTACTGTAATTGCCAGCTGTATCTGCTCCCTCCAGGTCCCTCCTCCCACTACACGCTTGCTCAGGCCACTCTTGTGCCCCTCCCCTCCAGCTCACATTTTCTTATCTCTTTCTTTTCTCCAGAGCTCTATTTCTTTGTCCCTTTATCTCTTCCATGTTATGTCAGCTGACATCAATAACAGTCACACAGCAAGAGTAATATTAGTGGTGAGAGGATAACTATGGCTAATGTGCCTGAGAGTCCAGTGTGCTGGGCACCTGTGTGACTTACCTGTTTTTGTTTTCTTTTCCCTCTGTTAATCTTTACAATACCTCTGAGGCCATGCTGGTGTTGCTGGGCCATGGAGAACAATCAGTGAAGCCTGGAGTTGGAAGTGCCAGTGGTCCTCTCTTCATTTTTCCTTCCAGTATCTTCCTCTATTGCTTTCTAACTTATTCTAAAACTATTACTACTTAAAGTGTGTGTGTGTGCTCACACACTTGTACACATAAACTTGTACACATACACTTGTACACATACACTTGTACACATATACTTATATACACACACTTGTACACACTTGTACCCACACTTGTACGCATATACTTGTACACACACTTGTACACACACTTGTACGCATATACTTGTACACACACACTTGTACACACACACAATGCCATGATACACATGGGGAGACCAGAGGATAACTTGTGGGAGTCAGTTCTTGCCTTTTAGCATGTGTGACCTGGGGCTGGAACTCAGGCCATCAGACTTGCTGGCAAGTACCTTTACTTACTAAAGTCATTTTGCCAACCTTCAGTGACCTTTCCACACTAGTGATGTATTGGATTTTCTACCTTGGTTTTGCCCGCAGAGATCAGAATTTAGTTAGTCTTCGCATAACCTAAATCTGCTAAATCAGGACTGTGTGCATGGAAGTCTAGAAGTACAAAATGCCAGGATCTTACAGAGAGCAGTGTTTCTAGAGAGGCCAAAGATGGGTTTGGAGAAATGGTTTCAAACAAAGGGTGCCATCTGTTTGTACCTTCCTTAATTAATCATTTCATTATAAGATGCTATTAGATACCCGATACTATTGATCATAGCACATACATGCATTCAGGATGATGGCTTTTAGCTTCCCCATATCTCTGGGAAGCAACCAGTGATACAAATCAAGGATATACAAATACTTGCCCCTGGTGGTTAATCTCAGTTGTCAGCTGAAGAGGTCTAGAGTCACCTGGGAGATGGGCTTCTGGAGATGCCTGTGTGGGGGGGGTTGTGCTGACTGAGGTGACTCACCTGCTGGGGGTGGCACCTTTCCCTGAGCTAAGATCCAGTTCTCTATGTAGAGGAGCTAAGGACAAACATGCATCACTCTCTGCTTCTCGACTGTGGATATCATGTCTCAAGCTTCTGCTGCTGTGACTCCTGTCTCATGGGTTGTAACACTGACCTGTGAGCCCAAACAACCTTTTCTCCCTCAAGTTGCTTTTGTCATTTTGAGTACCAGGAAATTGGGCTGGCCTGGAAGGGGGTTCCTATCGCTTTGGCTCAGTATCTTAGCTTCTGTCTCCTCTCTCCTTTGGTTGTGTCACTTGTAACAGTTTCCGTGACATAGGCTGGAAGGGACAAGCAACTGAATGAAGCTGTTAACCTCAAAGGTGAAAGATGTTCATTGGTGATCTTCTTATCTGGTTTTGTTCCTTTATCCTATCAGTTTTATCCCACACATCAGTCCGCATGCTTTTGGAGTTGAAGATCGTATCGAGTTTGCCAATTGTCAATAAGAAAGAATATTGTTGTCTGTGTTCTAAATGGTGCCCTGTCAAGGCATTTGTCCTTAGCTTTAAATCTTGCTTGGGGACAAGGAAAAAAATCACTATGCCATTAACCATACCTCAACTGAGAAGGAATTTGTCACATTATCACGTATGAAGCAATTTTGTTGGAGACCGAAGCTTAGCAGACTGCAATCTGGCTGTGGGAAGAGCCAGTGACTCTGAGGCTGTGTTTGCATGGGAAAGCCTCCACTTGCTTGCAATGTGTGAAATGAAGGCACACTTTGACCTTCCCCCACCGTGTGGTTAGAGTCACTCACCCATCTTTCCTTCTGAGTGAGTATAGCTCTACCCAGAGATGAAGTTCATCTTCCCAATGGGATTTTTCTTGGGCTACTCTTTGTGTATAGGACTTGATGTATTGTTTTTGAAGTGCTCAGAACATATTGGGAAATTATCTTAGTTGCTTTGGTGATGATTTTTAGTTAAAAACGATAAGCCTTCACTTTGTAAGTAATATCTGCTCATTGTAAGGAAATTTGGAAAGCACAGACAAGCCAAAAGAAAAGAGTTACAAATGCATGGTCGTGCTATATAAAGCTTCTCTCTGTTAACACTATGACTTAGATCCTTTCAGCCTTTTTCCCCTGTGCAAAATTCTTCATCCAGGGCTGTGTTCATAATGCGTGTTCAATTTGTAAGTGGATCATTCAACTTTTGTATTACATTATGAGCACATTTTTAAAAACAGGGCTTTAAATTACTGCATAATATCCTTTTATATACTTGACTTTTAAAATCATGTTCCTCTTGTTGAATATGCACCTTTTTTACCTTGATGAATACCTTCATGCATAAAAGTCCTTCTGCAGGCTCGATTATTTTCATAGGATAAGCCCCCAGAACAGAATTAAGGGTCTAAAGTAGGGACATTTATTAAAGCAAACGATTCAATTTCCCAAGAGCTTTGGTTAATCCTTCCTTTTGCGGCTGTACTAACATCAGTTCCTTTGAGTTGCCAGTTGCTTGTTCACAGCCAGTGTATTCTGAATTAGTGGTCTGCTCTCCAGTGTTAAGCTGAGATGGAGAAGCCCTTGCCGGCCTCCACATACATACAAGACACTGTGAAACATGCTGCCCTACAGGAAGGCGGAAGACTGCGTGTTAGATTGATCACCTCCATGTTTAGTAATGTGGGCTAGTTAAGAACTTAGGTGGTCTTAATCATACTGTTTTTATTCTTCCGTGTAGCCTTTCTTCCCAGCTGTAGCTTGTTGAGGCAATTGTGTAATGATGATGGTACATAGACTGCTGGAAGATACGGCACTATGGCAAAAACAAAGACCTGT